TCCCCACCCTGTCACTGGATCCCAGGGAGAGGAGCTCAGCACCTCCCTCTCCACGTCCCCTCCTCAGGAAGCTGCAGAGAGCCAGGAGGTCGCCCCTCAGCCTCCTTTTCTCCAAACCAGGCAAGCCCAAAGTCCCCAGCCGCTCCTCACAGGACATGCTGTCCAGCCCTTTCACCAGCTCTGTTGCCCTCCTCTGGATGCATTCAAGAACCTTCACATTCTTCTTAAGTTGTGGGGCCCAGAACTGCATATGGTACTCGAGGTGAGGCCACACTAATGGTAAAAATAGCAGGATAGACATGGCTATTGCCCAGCTGGCTGAGCTGCATTTGGTGCATGCCAGGACAGGGGTTTGCCCTCTTGGCTTGCCAGGCACACTGCTGACTCCTATTGAGCCTGCTGCTGACCAGCACCCCCGGATCCCATTCTGCAGGGCTGCTCTCCAGCCACTACACTCCCAGTTTATATGTGTGCCTGGCATGACTCCGTCCTGGGTGCAGAATCTGGCATCTGGACTTGTTAAATTTCATCTCATTGCCCAATGCTCCAGTCTATCTAGAACCCTCTGCAAGGCCTCCTGGCCCTCGAGAGAGTCAACAGCACCTCCCAGTTTGGTATCATCAGCAAACTTGCTCATGGTGCATTCAACTCCTGCATCCAGATCCTTGATAAATATATTGAACAGAACTGGCCCTAGAATTGAACCCTGAGGAACACTGCTGGTGACCAGTTGCCAGCCAGATGTAGCCCCATTCACAACAACCCTTTGAGCCCTGCCTTTCAGCCAGCTCATCCCACAGTTGCCCCTGGCTGCCCCTGACCCTGGCTCATCGCTCGCCCTGCCTGGGGCTGTCAACGACCCAGTTACCAGCACCCAGCTCTGCCCGCCCTGTGGGGCTGCTCCCATAGGAGAGGCCATGGCCTGTGATGGGGCCACCCTCGGCCCCCAGCTCCCCATCCCCTGGGAGCAGCCAGCCCTCGCTGAGCCTGACAGCGGGAGACTGTGCTTTGGGGTCTGTAACATCTTAATTTTTTCTTGATGTATATGAAATGTCCTTAGACTTTGCTCTAGTTAACAAAAGCACAAAGCAAAATGTCAACAACAAAACCAAATAAAGATCACCCAAACCACACAAAACAGCAAACATAAAACCTACCAAAATAAACAAAAGAATTACTGTATAGGACTCTAAATGGGAAAAGGTAAGAGAACAAACAGTACTTAGCAGATATTAGACACATTGTTCAATATATTACCATAACTTTATGGTGAATATGTTATATAAAAACTTACATAGAAATACAGCATTAAGCTTAACTATGTACATGTATTCCCTCTGCCATCTTACAAGTACATACAACTGCAACAGCATTCTGAAAAGGAAGCCAGAGGGAAGAACGCATTTTGGAACATACACCTGGAGTTCTTCTGTTACTGTAACTAGCCACTGTAATCCCTCACAGCTAAATCAAATGTACAGCCTCCTTAGTAGAATTTCTATACCACAGATGTTTGAACTGTAGAAAAGTAAATGTTGGTTACTGGTTAACCCAAAGGAATTAAGTTAAAGAGGTGACTGACTGTAAGGAATAGTTATAAAACTTACCAGCCTAACAACTCATTCTGGTGACATTAACTGCAGTTTGTAAATATAAGCAAAAATTAAAGTATCACGGGTAACAGCTTGACTAACACTGCAGTCCAATTTTAAACATCTGGATTTAATTTAATTATATCAGAAAATGCATATCACAAATCATTTTCAGAGTCTTAGTCAGATTTTGTTTTGGATTTACACTAATGCTGCCATCACCTGTAATGTGCTAACTCCTATCACAATGGTATGGTGGGTCATCTTGTAGATGAATGGGTACAAATAGAACTGTATTGACCTAAATCTTGCAAAGTCATCTTCAACCTGCATTTCTATTACAGACTGTTTTCATTAGAGTTTGCACCGAAATATTTAAAGCCACAACTTTACATGCACCAAAATTAAAACACCAAAAAAAATGAGGATCAGAGTAATTACAAAATAAACTAAGTAAAATCGGCAACCATCACCTAAATTGTAAGACACAACAGTATTCATTCTCTGGCTGTCATCATTAGTAAGCTCAAAATTCGAAAGTCATTACCAATGAAACAGCAAGAGATCAGTAGTTTTGAAAATACACACTATATATTGCTTGGATTAAATTTGCATCTCAAGTATGGAACACCTTTTCTCTTTTTACAGCAGTGTCTTCTCAAATGGACAGAAAAACTACTAGATAAACACAAGCTGTAAAAACAAATGAGCCACAGGAATCCTTGTGTCTCCAGTGCACTTGTGAGTTATGACTGCCTTCTTGTGGTTTCACAGACTTCACTCTTACCACTTCTAAGACTGATCTCAGCTGAGGTCTTATTCTGCTTAGCAGAAGTTTCTGTCAATCTGTAAAAGAATCCAGATGAAATAAACTTCACTTCACTAAGCGATAGGAGGAATTCAATACACTGACACTAACCTGAAGATGTTAAAATTAAATACACAATATCACACTAAGCCATATACTTTGGGCCAAATCCTGCACACACTTCTTGGGGTTAGGTAATCCATCTGAAGTGAGCAGAAACTAATCTAATCACATTAATAAGGGAACCAAAAGATGGCTTGTTGACTATTTGTTTGTAGGCTCCATTTCAAAACCTCCACCCTTCCAAAATGCTAATGTGCGTTTTTTGTCATGTCATAAAGTAGATTTGCTATACAAATGAAATAATGAGTCAACAAAAGTATATGCCGGCTCAAGGATGTGACAGAAACATAGCCCACTGGGAAATTAACACCAAAAAGAAAAAAATACATTCTAATAATATAATTTTTATTTATGCAAAATACAATATAAATGTAGACATACAGGACTGATTTTAGTGTACTTGAAAAACATGACCGATTTACCAAAAACCCAGTAATACTCTAGGTTTCACAAATGCATGCATGCTGCTTTTAATGCTCACTTTATAACTGAAAATTATAGTCCATATTACGATTCTGTATATTTATAAGATTATTGGTTAGTTGAGTGATTCCCAACAGCATGTGATGTGGTACGTTTACCACAGGCTGCATTTGCCTGCACTGCCTACCAGCTATCATTCCAGAATCAGCTACAAACGCCTCAGGGTGCCTCCACACTAGGAAGTTGTGTGAACCACAGGAACACATCTGTTGAGGAAAACTACTGGTGTTGATGGACTTGATGTCTGCACTACACATGCCACCTTCCCCTTTCCCTTTTCTTTCAACTAGTTCTAGCGTAGTCCCATGGACACGATGCCCATTAGTTGCTAAATCACATTAGGTCCCCCTGGATCACCTTTTCCAGTTATGTTCATCCAGAAGAAATTCACTGCATGAACTCTTAGACAGGTCCATGATGTGAATGAAACAAAAGAGGATCACGATGCTCAGGAGACTCACTCCAAAAGCAAACTCTGATCCACATTAAAACACTAATGTGCAGATGCACCTCAGACACTCCTAATATCTCCCACAAACACACAAGAGTAGACACCATGCAGTTTCAGGGCCATTCAGGGCAGCATTGTTTTCTGGACTAAGCAAAACGCTTAGGGTTCTGGTGTCTCATGTCTTTAAGAAATTAAGCATTAAAAAAAAAAAAATTAACAACCACACATTTTTAGATCATCTAAAATGTCCATTATAAATAGTTTAACTACAAACTATACGAACACAGGATACTCCATGAAGGTTGCATTGCCACAGAGTCAATTCTGATTATGAAACTGCTAAATGGTACTACATACCAGCCATGTGATCTTTTACTGTATTTCTTCTATTCTGTTTTGGTATGTATGGGAGAGACATCATTACATACTACACTTTGGCAAGGGTACGAATACATATCTGCCCTTACAACTAAACAGCTCTTCAGTACCCATGTTATTATGATTCAATATCAGGCACCATCAAATTTTATGCTCACACGCTTGTACTTAACATACTAATTATTTCCAATATAATTGTATGAAATGCACATGGTAAATTTCCGGACTATATTTCCTTTGGCATGTGGTATTAGTTTACAAGATACTAAATATTTCAAGCAACAGCAGCCATGTCCACCACAAGCTCATGGATACATATATTTTCATGTCCCTTTAAAAGAAAAACAAAGAAATAAATTAATAAATTTCATGCAGTCCCTTTCTCAACAGAAAATACTTGTGACAAATAGCCCCTAGCTTATTCCAATTGTCTTGATATATTACTACAGAATTTCTCCTCTTTGATCTGAGAAAGGCAACAAGCTCAATAAACATCATTGCCAATATAAATACTTTGTTTCACTACCCCAAGTTTTTTTGATACTGTAAAAGCATGTAGAAAAGGGTAATCTCAGCAGTAAAAAACAGCACAAATAATGATCCTACAGATTAAATATGCAGTCTAAAATTTGACTATAATTATACATTGGTATTCCACAGACCCATTCATATGTATAAAGTTTTCTATACCAAAATCCTATCTTAGAAGAATTATTGAAGTGCATAACAAAGCTCAAAAGTAACAAGTGTCAAAATTAACAGTCCTTGGAGCTCTAACAGTTGTTTAAAACAGTCTTTGGGGATTTTTTCCTTTTTCCATAGAAGACCTGGCTCAGTGAGTGAAGTGTACCTCACCAGACCTGGGATTTCCTAGAAATGCTTGCAAAAGGATTCTGTGGTCATTCAGGAATTAAAGAACCGTCAAAATT